GTCTGATCTGACAGAAAGCGACAGTGAGTACCAAAAAGCTAGATTCTTAAATTGTAACATTTTTATACTATAATAATTTTTTAAACAGATGAGCCTGTTCCTGATAAAGTTTCTCCTCGTTTGTCAGCGCGTACAAGTAATTCTAAACTTCTTGCCACAGCCGATACCATAGAATCAGAGGAAATTGACATTGATCACGTTACACCAACTCTCAATGTAAATCCAACACCTGCACCAAGGAGTGCAAAGGTTCAGAACAAAGAACAATTAGAGGAAAATTTGATGCCACCTCCTCCAGCGCCTATTACTGCGCAGAGTGATTTAACACAAGTTGCTGGTAATAATGAAACGTCATTTTCAAGACCACAACGCGCCGCAAAGTTAAAATCGGAAAAGAACCTCAAAGAACCAAAACTTAACAGTAAAATGCGTCGTCCTAGTAAAAATAACACTAGTAAGGTAAAGTTGGAGCATGAACAACGCCCCTCACAAATGCACGAAGTTGATGATAACACAATACAGAGCAACAGCGATGCTTCTAAATCTACTGCTAGCGTCATATCTGAAAATTCAGTAATAGCTATTCCATCAAAAGCGCCATCTGTGGTGGAGCTAAATTCAGACGATGAAGCCACAGATAAAAACTCTCAACGTATGTATAAACATTTGCTTTAATTAATTTTCCATAAAAGTATATTCATTTCTAAATTATAGGCGATTCTACAGAGGAAGGCAAGACTCGTGGTCTACGTATTAAAATTAAACGTGAAAAGAGTAGTATTGGTGTTACTAATGACAAAGTAAACACTGAGACTTCTGCACCTTCTACGACACTGGAATCTTCAGTTAGTGCTGATCCAGGTGTTCCATTGCCAAAGGTAGGGTTAAAAAAAAAATTCAATATTTCATTAACTAATCATTAGTCATTACCTAGATTCCTATAAAGTCTGAACCAGGTAGCGATGATTCAACATTGGCTTCCACCACTATTTCAGTTAATACTACCGCTAATACTAGACGTCGCAAAAAAAAGGATGCTGTGCCCAAACCTATAAAAGTTGAAAGATTTAGCGATATCGATGCAACTGAAAAAACCCGTAAAACTCGTAAGCAAACCCGTGCGTCTGGTGTATCTGTTTATGAAGATGCAGTAGATCACCTAATTCCAAATGAAGCTGTTAGTACACCGCCCACGCGGGTTTCACTAGTGCCACCAGAAGTTGCTGCCGCTGCAGGAATGAATGAGACGGTAAAAACCGAAAAGACTGGCAATTTGACGGTAGTAACAGGGGCTATCATAAATGATGCTACATTTTGTGCAAATGCAGCACAAACCACATTCCAAGTGGATGCTGCACAGGCCACCTTTGATATTGATGGTCAAAATGCCAATATGACTGTTACAATAAACAAAAAGTCTGGCGGAGCGGTCGCTTCGGTGGGCGACACAACATACAATGTGCCCGTCAATGCGGAGGACAATTCGACTGTCTCGTCCCGTCATTCGATGGAGACTGCAAAAGACAACACACATCCTCAACAAGATAGCCTAATAACCGAGGATGAGTCATTTGAACCAGAAAAGCCAAAGGGTAAATTAGCAACTCTGCCGAAACCTGGTCCAGCTTCCACAAAATTAGGGTCAGCTAAGATTTTCAAAATGCCCAACCGTACAAATGAACTATTCAAGTAAGTATATACAGATTTTTTATTTTGACATAATTCCTAAAAATATATTGGTTTTAGTCCACTTGTGCAAAGTCCGGTGAAGAAAAAGGTTGAAGCTTTCGAAAATGCTGCTATAGCAGCTCATACTACAGAGGTAACTAGTTCCGGTCGTCCGAAACGAACTAAGGAAAACGCAGCACCGGTAAATGAGAGTTAAAAATATTTGTATCTTACTTTATAAATATTGTTATCTATATATCCAGTCAAGTATAAATACGCCAACATTTGGAAAGCTTGCATCTGCGCCTACACTAGGACGATTCCTCACACCAACACAAACTTCAAATCTCACAGGCTCACTAGCAAAAGTTAAGAAAGTGCCAAATAGTGCATCTAAAGCGATACCGCATCCGAAAGGTATTGCTGGTGTTAAAGCCAGTGCCAGTACAACAACTTCAAAAACTTTATCTCGTGAAAATAGCGCCGAAGATTTTCGCAAAGGTTTGCATAATTTAGCCGAGGAGCGCAAAAAGCAACGAGAACAGAAGCATCTCATCGCCGCACAACAGCGAGAAGCTAAAGAACGGGAACGTGCTGAACGCGCAGCGAAATTAGTGAAGGAGCGCGAGGAAAAGCGACTCAAAAAACAGCAAGAGGCTGAACAGAAGAAGCAAGCGCTCGAGGAGATCCAACGAAACCTGCGACAACAAGAAGACGTCGCCAAATTGAAGGCTGCCAAAGCAAAGGCCGAACAAGAACGTGAGTTGCTGCAACAAATGAAGCAGCAACAGACTGCTCGCTCTACTGCAACGAAAATGTTGCCACCAGCACCGAAACTACAATCGAAATACACATTCGAAATGTTGCATGAAGATGATTCAACAGATGAAGAGGACAAGACTTCGTATAAGCGACCACCACCACCAACTTGGAGCCGAAGTATGTTAAAAATAAATAAGAAATATTCCACTTATTATAATAAACTTTTATCATGATTTTGTTAACAGGTCACGTACGTAGCTCAGCAATTCGTATGCAGCAATACTGGCCAACGAAAATAATTGACAGCTTCTTTTCGGTGCAACCGATGTCACCGGATTTGCGTTCGATCTTTCCCAATATTAGCTCACATCATTTAAAACGCAATTCAAGCGTCCTATGGACAACCCCACCGCGTTATTCAGAGCTGCCAAAATATTAAAAGTTTGTTTTGAAAAGAAAGTAATAATCGTTTCGCTTTGTATATCACGTATAAAATAGATATTAGTCTGTTAATTAATTTGAAATGGAATTTTAGTTGTATTTAGTACAAGTAGCTGCTTGTTCGAATTATTAATCATTTTATTGTTTGTAATTTATCGGTAAATTCTCTTGCACTATCCCAAGCATACATACACATATGAGGAGTGCTTTTCATGTATACATAAGGAATTTTGTAAGCATTTTATCGCATATCGTACACTTTAACACATTTTGCACTTTTTTACAAATAAAATGAAAAAAAAACAAATATTCATTTAAATTTTGTTCTCAAAAAAATATGAATATTTTTTGAACATTTTCACTACAAGTCATATTAAAGAAGAGTGGAGGGCGCAGGAGGTCGCATGTACCTTCCAGCGGAACTGGCAACATTTATACATACCGTTCCCACGATAGTCGGGTCTACGTAACCTGAACGGAACGGATTTATTCCGGCCAAGGACTGTCAACTAGGCCGAACTCTGTCGCTACAACAACAACAACGGTTCAAAAGAGCTGTTGGAGTGGGCGACTATTGCGCAGAGCTAGATTTTAGGTAACCCTTCAAGCTTCCAAAGTATTACAGTATCTTCCAGGTGGTTAATAAAGTTGCTGAGATAGCTAGCAACGCAGAAAATAACATAAAGACGACCAATATGTGTAAGTGACACTTAAGGCAATAATCTTACATAATATTGCGTCAGAGAATGTAAATATTGCTGATGAGCTGCCAAAAGTGCCAGCCGTCTGGCTACCGAACCAGTACACGAAATACAGAAGTCGCCAAAAACAATGCATAATGAAATTTTCGAAAGGGCTCACCTAGGTTAGGTTAGGTTAGAGGGTCGATCCTAAGAAGGATCACACTTGGACAGCTTAAATGCCGGTCCGCTGTGGTATTCGAAACTCCTATGAGCTGGATCAGTAGACCCTTATATGCCGACAAAGCGCTTTGTGCCTATAACAAACTTGTTGAGACGGCCAATATCTATTTCGGCCAAATCTTCTGGGTCGCCGAAAGTGTGATTGCCGAGATGTATCAGTCTCAGCCCAGCAAAAGCCGGACAGTGGCGGAGAAAGTGCCGGGATGTTTCTACCTCTCCCTCCTCCATACAGCTTTGACAACCAGCATCGGGTAGTATTCTGAGCCGTACCTCATGAGTGCCCATTGGACAGTGCACAGTGAGAACTCCTACCATAGCGGCGAGATGAACTTTATTCAAGGCGAGAAGATCCCCCGACCTCCTGCGACAAGGACTAGCGTCTGCTGAGTGCATGCGAAGTCCATTGGTGCAGAGCCAGAACACAAGACGTTGCCTCAACTAACCTAACCTAAAATGTGAGTCTTTGGAGTAGGTATGTGCGCACGAAAGTATACTATAAAATTAACATCAAGTGTAAAGCGATCTTAAGAAAGAAATAGAATAAAGCTCTCGTACTACAATATCCGCAAAGGAAGCACATTTTCTCTCTTGCAACAAGTACTTTTCAAAAATCAATTCCGACAGCGACAATTTAACTCGGAGCGATTGATAATTGAGATAATTAAGAACACTCTTTAAGAATGTCGACATGAAATTTCGAAACTTAAACCAAATGAGATAATATATACATATATTTGCCAGACTTTAGAAAGTTTATGGGATTGTTGGTTTCACAATTCGCTGTTGCTTTCGCTGTGCTACAAATCAAGTCAATAGATCTACTAAATCCTTGAAAGCTTTGTAAAAAACGCAATGTTGAACTCAGCGAGTGTGACTCATTACTTGAAAGAAGTAATAAGGGGATCACTTTACGAACTTCCTTGGCAGGCTTCAAGTTGCTCGGAAAACAATGAGACCATAATGAAATACTACACGCGAGGGCCGTGAAAGCTCTTGCCAAAGCTTTTGCAGCCTTGAGTGAACTCTCATATTTCTTGTGAACATTTTGTATGTTTTCCCTATTGCTTCTAGCCGCCGTTGCTTCATTCGATTTTTGGCCTTGCCTTGCATTACACACGGTAATGTAATGAGTACGTGTTGCTATCGTTGTTGTTGCTGTTGATCGCTTGTCTGTCGTTGATTTTCAGTTAGCAATGGAATTCACCACACTTTCTTGTGGTTTGGACTTGTTGGTAAGCAAACGACTACAGTTGGCCTGGCGCGATCAGTTAAAGGCGGATCGTGCTTGTGTTAAGACGTCTTCAAGCGAACATTGCAAGTGGTAAGTGCGTGCAACCAAGTGAAAGAAGAAGAAATTCTCAGCTGCGATTGGTGTGTAATGTGTAATTAAAGTGCAAGCATAAAAGTCGCCACTAAAATTAGCTTAAATGCGTTCGCAGGTCGCGGGTGCGTATTGTGTAAAAACAAGAGTAACAAGCGCATTTGCAACATACCATATATACATCCGCACATACAAACGTACTTTATAATCGAATACGTTGTAATACTTTGGTTGATAGGAGCCACGGCGGCAGGTGAAAAATGTCGCTTGGCAAAATATTTACCCTGGAGCTTTGTGTGAAATACAAACATACAGATGTGGAGACTAACTGCAAACGCACCATATGAAATCGGATATAGGCATTTGTAAATGGATTTGATTTTTTTGTTTTTTTTTTGGTTATTTGATTTCAAAGCAACGCATAACTTACGCATTGTCCATTTAACACGCACACATGTGACTTACATAAGTATGTGTGTAGATTTGCCTACATTGGAAACAAAACAAAAATAAAAACAAAAACAAAATAAAAAACACAATGTGTGCAATACGCAGAAATGACTGTAAAGATGGCTTAAAACTTTCTTTTTCGTCAGCATTCGTTCACTTGTCGGAATAATCGGAATATTGCGCGCATGTGTGTGTGTTGTTGCAAATTCGTATGCATATGTATATGTGTTTGTGCGCGCAAAACTTCGCTTGATGCTGACGCGAGTGCGAGTCTAAAATGAAAAAAGAAACAAAAACAAAAAAAAAATATAAAAGAAATGGTAGAAAAAGTGGCTAAAGTTGCAATAAGAAAGATATATGAATTATCTATAAGAAACAAAGCAATGTGCATGTGAGCATGTGTGTGTGTGTTTTACCTCATGGCAGGTAATTAGCGTAGAAAAACGAAAACGACAACAAAAACAAAAGCTAACTATTGAAAATAATGAATTTCGCTGTGGAAATTGGTGCAAGCAAAAATAAAAGTGTAACATTGTGACTTACATACATACACACGTACGTATTTATATACACGCAAAGTTCAGATTCCTTCCAAAGCGTGAAATTGTTTGTGCGTGCTTTACTATAATATAATATTATGCGAGCGATAGTAATTTGGTGTGCGAGCGCTAAATTAGGTTGCACAGCGATAATTAATGCTAACACACTCGCATACACACATACACACATATATATTTGACGTGCCAAGCACGCTTGACAAGAAGTGTATTTGCCTCGTTGCATGGGAATGGTATACAGAAAGGAGCGCACAAACAACTATACTCTTCATATTTACATACATACATACATATGCATATGCATATGTATATAATATGTGTGTACACAACATTCAGCACAATCTCCAGTCAACAGAAATCTTTGAAAAATATTTGATAATAATAATAATAGTGGCGCCTTTTAAATGTCAAGCCAATTAAATTAGATTACCGTTAATCAGTGAATCTCATTTTTACTGATGTCATAGCAGCGAATATTTACGAAAACTGAATCATCTAAAATCAGCACAGATCGAACTTCGAATGGTTTCCCTCGTTGACCTTTTCGTAACGGTTTTGAAACATTAAACAATTATTTTTACAGTTACTCAAAATTGTAGCATATCGGACTCAGTATTCAGTCTTTGAACCCATTTGAAAACCCATTTGGCTTGGTTACTTCTTTCTTTTTTCAATTTACCGTTAGTGCTATTTTCTTATTACTAGTATTTAATTTATGATGAAGCAACCAAACTAGAAATAAGATAGAATAATAATATAAAGAATCGCGAGTTTAGTAAAATATATTATTTAAATGAAATTATTTAATTCTATTATTTTATTTTTTTTATTAGAAGAATTTAGTTTTTTGTTATTTTTACATAAAAATCCGTATTTGAATGCACGTATTTTCTCTCGAATGATAATCAAGCTAGTTGTTGTCGACATACACTTAATGCCTCTCAATTGACATTGTTGCTGACGCTGCATCAGCTTCGGTTGACGTGTTATTGCTGCTGGCAATGTTGCAATTTCGGCAATCGGAACTAGCAATTTAGCAATCACGTTTGGCATTCGCTGCTTGTGGATGTGCGGCTGGCACATTGAGCAACGGTACACACTTTTCGGTATTTGCTTTTTGGGGCGGCAGGACGGCGGATAATATCGTTTCATAGGGTCGCTCAAATATGTTTTCATCTAATCGAGCTTATGAAAGCTATTTAAGGTAGAAAATTATTGATACTCCACAAAAAAAATATTTATTAGATTTACGATTTTTATTTTAGTATTTAGTTCGTATCAAAGGGAAACACTGAAAACCACGACAAATCAATAACAGTTTTCGCTGGTATTAGACCTTAGCCGTTAGCTGGTAATAGACAGCCTGCTCTGAGACGAACATAGTAGTCACGAGGCATATCTTGAGAACAACTTTGATTGCTAGATCACATAACAAAATTTGAACCAGAAAGATGTTCTGAGTGTGGGTATTCAAATGACTCATTCAATCAGAGTTCATAGAGCGATAAGCAATTTCCAGTACTTTCGGCTAGGGTTCCACGGCGGAAGACAAACTGGTGAAGAAATTATTTTAAATATAAGACAAATCATTCTTTTATCGTCATTAAGCATACAGTACAGCACAGCAGGTATTTCCAGCCGCACCAATGTACGACAGTCTTGCTAAGTTGGCTAAAATAAGCACTTGTATGACACTAGAAGCTAACAGTGACAATAACCGGACATTCAGGTGAAATGAAACAGGAATGACAGTCCATAAAAACGAGCGAGCAGACAGTTCGTGTGAGACAATAACAACAAGAATTTCTTAAGAGAACAATAAAAAGTAGTTGCAGTGAATACAACAACAAGTTAATAGTGTTTACTTTTTCCAACAGGCCAATGTCAAATTTGAGCTCTGCTGTGTACTTGACGTTCTTGATACTGTTACGAGCGTTTGCTGTTTGCTTTTTGCTTTTTGGTCTGTTGTTGTGTTGGTGTTGCATTTGACATTCAGCGGCGTTCCGAAAATTGCAGCTGAGAAACTGTTACTTGTGCTATTTTCTTGTGCCATTTTCCGCTGCAACTGCCGTGGCCAGTTTTGCTTCCTTTCAATGCATCGTGAGTGTGTGTGTGTATGTATGTGTGCGTGTTGGCTGAAAGTAGGCAAATTGCATGGCGTGCTGCAATAAGTATGTTGCAAGAATAACAACATAATAAATTGCATTGTCACCTTGTCACCAGCGACGCCATCTAAGAGATGACACACACACACACACAAACACAGAGCGACTTAACTTGGCGTTTAAACAAATAAAGTGAGAAGTAAATTCAATACAGTCTTTGTGGCATTATGCAAGCGAAGTAAAATAATTTTGAAAGTTTTATTGTTTAGTTCACTGCCGTATGCTATCAAAAGTAAAAGAAACTCCGGTCCGTGTCAAAAACTAAAATTTTATTAGAAAAAAGTGTGAAAGTGATTTTCAAATGTTCCACAATATTCGGCGCAACTTACTTGTGATTTTCGAAATCTAAGCGTTTTCGGAATTACTCGCTCGTTTCGTGCGTTGATTGGCACTGCGCTATACAGATCATCGAGTGTATGTCTGCGCATGAGTGCGTGTTGTTTATTCATTTGAACGCCGCTTGCCGTTAATACATTGCTTACTGCAATTTCGCTGCTCCACTGCAACGCTTTGGCTACGGTATTCGCTGCAAGTGTGAGCGCTTGTACGGCTGCGTGTGGATTAAGCTGCTGCGCCGCTGCTGCTGCTGCTGCTGCTGGTGTGTAACGAGACGCGCCGATGAAGTGAAGGTGAGTTTTCACGCTACATAAATAATAGAAAGCTCGATGATGAGTCTTGCTAAGCCGTTCGTTTAAGCATGGATAACTAAACCGCTGACAGCGTGCTCGTACAAGTGTAGCGGTGAAATCTAAATCTGCGCGAATAATCGCAGCGAGGCCGGATTTAGAATTTCAAGTGTCCATATGTTCGCAAATGTGTAATATATTCACATAGTTATTGGGTTATTACTGTAAGCGAATTTGTTTTTAACGAAGCTCCAGCAGAAAATCTTACTTCCTAAATTTTAAAGTTACATTTGAGTTATATTTAGTTATTAATAGCAATAAGTTTCTTGTACTTCATGAACCAAATGAGTATTGTGCAATCTTTTGTAAATTTTTTTGGTGTAAATAAACCAGATATGACACTGGTGGTGGTATTTATACATTTAAGAGTACAAGGTTTTCATTAAACTTGGTTTAGTACAAAAAATACTAACCTGACAATGTTGTACCTCCCTGCCCCCTTTGAAAATACTAAACTTTGTTCTACTCTTAAAGCTACCATTATTTTCTTTTTTCTTATAAATAGCAGAAAAATATGATACAATATTGTATATCATATATATACGGTATATATATAATATATATATATATAGGTATACTCTTAAATATTACAACATTGCACTTCAGTGCTTACGAATATCGACTTTGATTTATTACTCATGGCGTTGTTAATGGTCCATTGAGGGCCATGCCATCTGAGGTTCGTGCCCAAAGTCTTTTGTTTTGTAATCCCAAACTCATGACTCAAAAGCTACCTCAATATGATTGCATAACGGCGGTAAACCCGTAAATATGTGCCGAAAACTAAATAAATTTATTTGTACAGGGGACAAAACCAAAAACCATTTCAAGTGTATGTAAAGTTAGCCGAATGTGTATACGAATTTTCGTAGTAAATGTGACGCTAAAAATCCGCATTCGACTAACTATTAGTGCGAAGTCAGCGGAAAGTGTCAGTGAGTCATATATACATACAAACACAAGCCAGTCGTCTCGTGTATAGCTCGTTTCCAAAAACACAACAGAGAAAGAAAATAAATAACGAGTTGAAAAATAATACAAGCCGTAGTAAATATAAAACCGCAGATGAAGGCTGCAAAATTTTCACCGGTGAGTGCCCTTCTGCGAAAGCAAAAGTAATTTTGTGAACTGGTTTTAACTGAGACAAAATATTGAGCATGGCTTTGCACTTACTAATGCTTTACATATAAATCCGTATGCACATATATACTCGTATGTACCTATATATACCTATGTATTTATGATGTGTATGCAGATATATAAATCTGGTATGAAAGATGGCTGATGGTGAGGGAGTGGGGAGCGGAGTGGAGGCGTTTGCCGCGGATTTAGTAAGAGTTTTTTTTTTTAATAATTATTTCTTTTGATAAGCGGTGCTGATTAGATCAAGGATGTTCATTTAATGAAAATGTTGTTGTTACGGTGAACTGCTATCGTATAAACTGTTTTTGTTTTTATTCAAGACCCTATCACAAGCCACTTCAAGTCGAGGCTAAAAGTGGTAGCAGATATTTTATCAAACGCTTTTGCTGCAAGAGTTGTTTTTGTACTGGTTGTGGCATTTCATTTACTAAATTCATAGTTACTCTATTTATAATTCGAATCGCTAGTAGTTAAAATGAAATATAATTAAAAGCGGAAAATAATTGCGAATATCTTGTTATATTCACGCTCTTTGCACGTGAAAAGCAACTTCGCGAGGAAATCGCTCAAATTGGCTGTTGAAGTCAATGCTCCAAAATAGCACTAAAATCGAGAAAAGAAAAAAGTAACTGCGCACAGTAGTTGACTGGGCAGCAAAAGTAACATAATAACAGTGGTTGGTCCAATACGTAGAGTTGGTGGAGTTGAGTAAGAAGAAGAAGAAGCAGAAAAAGCACAGCACTTGCGGCGTCTCCAACCTTTCTAAGTGCTTTCACTTTCGTTGAACGAGCGACATCGGTGTTTCGGTTTCGACTCCAACTGCTGTTGCGTTGCTTATTGTTGATGTGCAGTTGAGAGTGACTGAACTTATTTTCTGTTAGTGCAACAGCTACTCATTAACCGTTACTACATGTATTTCTTTGTACATAGCTCACTCTTAGCTGACTCTTTTCATTTCGCGCTTCGCGGGGGTTGCTATTAACCCATACTCTTGCTATTTATTTTTAGTTAAGCTGTCTGTCTGTCCCTTAATTTTACTTTTTGTTTGACGCCGGTTTGACATTGGCCAGTTGACTTCATGTTTTGCATTCGAATGTTTTTTTGGCTTGATTTTTTCACAATTTCTCAACTTTTTATTCGGTTCATTGGAAAAATCGTTTGTCTGCCTTATGGTGCACTGTGAAGGGCATTTTGTTGCAAGCGCAGCAGTTTTCATTTTCATTCACACAGCTGCACTTTGTATGTGTAGGAGCACAGTTATTTGGTAATTGTTGCTTATTCATTTTTTATGCGTTTCAAGTTTATTTTGTTGTTGGTAGCTTGTCGATGTTGTAACCAGACCGTTAGTGCATTTCATTGGATTTAACGCAGTTAAGCGGATCTGGTTTTTCTACCGTCAAGAAGTCTTTAGCTAACCTGAAAAGCGGTCCTGGGGCTTTACGATGCGCATTTAAGATATGTTTGCGCCTTCGTATTGAGAGCTCAGGTCGTCACTCTTGTACGCTTCGATTCTTCGGGCTCCCTTGGGGTGGTTGTTCGGCTATATCTTGGTTGTTTGTTGAAACTTTAAGCTTGAAGTACAATTTTTGTCTTGCTGAAGAACCGAATTGTCGAAATATTTTTGGATACTTTTAGCTCAAGTCTACTAAATATCGCCTTGGACTATGGATCGCCATCGTATTAGCTTCACTTGCATTTCACCACGACTTTGCTACTCCGCACCTTGACTGCTCCACATAAAAAGTGTAAATATACTTTTAGCACATACTGTACTTTGAGAAGCTTTGGTTATATTTTTTTGTCAAAAGAGAAATACAAAAATATTAACTGTTGAACCATGACAGACTGACATCATGTCATAACAATCAGTAAATATGTCAGCGATCAATTTCGGATACTTTCGCTGTATAAACCCCAAATAATCTTTCGCTATCATGGCTTATTTAACAACTCCACGGCAAATATGAATGCATGCACACGCACACATATATATATTAATTATATATATTATATATATGTGTGTGTATACCTTTGAATTGGTAAATTAGCATTTGTAGAGAGTCTATTGTGCGATCTTAAAAAAAACATAAATCTGATTAACAATGCAAAACCAGTTTTACGAGTCTTCATCAACGGTATATATTTTTTACTGTTAATTGTCTCTGGCTATGTATGAATTTGAGCGTGGCAAAAATTAAGTTGAATTTATTGAACACTAAAAAATTTAACTATTTTCTATTTGCATATCGCTCTTTGCAGACTATGGCAAGCAAGAAAAAGCCCATTAGCCAATACACAAACCAATTACATTGTTAATTTTTATAAATTTTTGAAATAAAGTATTCATGGTGATTTTGGCTTAGAAAAGTTCACTGCTTTTGTTACTAACATCTAAATCTCTGTATTGGTCAATATTCTTTCACTTGAGCTCAGCCTTAGTCTCCCAGAATAGAATTCGAATTAGTTTTTGCTTTGCTGCCATTTACCTAATGGCTCACCCGTTTAATCTGTTGTAAATTGCTTTGCTTTTTGCAGTAATCTTTTAAACTATTTCTGTTAGCGATTTGCATTATGTAACCAGTCGCCATTGTTTAATGTTCGGTCATTTGTCGTTAGAAGCTTAATGACCGTTTTTTATACTTACGCGTTTATTGTTTAGCAAGTAGCCCTGACGACATCTTTGTGCTCGTGGTAATAAACCTTAGGTAATGATGCCATTGTACTAAACTTATTCTAGATCTTTACTAAGTGAGTCATTGAACTTGATAATTTATCAAAAGAAAATGGAAAAATTATTCAACGAACGATATCTTTTCTCATAAGTCTACCTTTGCTTAAAATAATTTATGTAAAATGGCATTTACGAAAACGAAAAAAATTAAAATTACACGAATAGAACTTTAAATCAAATCAAATATATTCTTGTTTTTTAGATATTCTCATAAAATAATAAGTTACATTTCGATAAATTAGAGAAAGCCTCTTGAATAAATGTTGTTGATTTAAATCATATTTTTTAAAGTGAAAACTTTTTCTAACATTTACAGCTCAAAGTTAGCACTTTCCCCGCTAGATTTACAACACAATAATGAGTTTCAAGCCTCAGTATCTTTATTAAACCAGCACCTTCCAATTAAGACAGTCTTTTGGGCTGTCAGCGCACCCTTAATTAGATGCATTTTTCATCATTTGGTATATGCATATAAACAAAATTTCCATAAAAATATAACGCAAATAAAAATCGTTTAAAGAAACTCATTTTTTATTACAGCATGGAGTTTGGCAGTGATTGTGAGCAAACATGAACGTCTACCACTCATCTATAGACACGAGATTTTGAACTAAAGCAAAGGGAAACCGAATTAAAAACACATACATTTAGTCGATCAGTGAAGCACATACACGCACATCAACTATTAAAACACACAACGACATTTTCTAGCTTAGGTTATGAGCTGCAAAGTGGAGCGACACAGCAGTGCAACGCTGCAGATGGCCACAGCGACAGCCACAGCCACAGCTACCACAACGGTTATGACGCTCAACAAAAGCCGAAAATCTCACAAAGGCACAAATTCCTCGCTGGCCGGCAGAATGTCGACGAGGAGAACCACAAGTTGGCCGCTTTCCACAGCCACGATGCAGCACAGCTTCAGCCCGGCGCACTCGCTCCGCTGGCTGGGCGTGCTGGCACTGCAGCTGCTGCTGTTGGCAACACGTAATATCGGTAAGTAATGCATACGTAATTTAAATGACAACAGTAAGATAGATGGCTCATATGGTGAGGGAGCACAATAAGCTTTTGTGCGCAATAAATTTCAATCGCTTGTCGTTGGACGCCTTTCAGTTGCTAGCGAGCGCCACCTGCAGCATTTGAAGCAGCTAATATTATTCTTTGTAACCTGCTCTCATTGTGTTTTGGTTATCTCCGTGTTTATTTGCATTTAAAATAGCTATTCGGGCTTGTGTGTGTGTGTATTTGTGAGTTGTTTTTGTTTATAGGTGCGTGGCTTGTCACTTGTTTGGCGGCTTTGCCATTCTTGTTGTGAAAGTGCGTTTACATACACATGTATACCTCACCACCGGTTCGAGCTGACATCAATGTGTTGAAGAATTCGCACACACACACACACATGCATTCCAATGCTGAAATGTAAGCTCTTGCCCGTATATGAGAGGCTTACTGGAACCAGTGTTTAATGTAGCGGAAAAATTTTGTTGTGCGTCAACAATGCAACAGAGTAATAAAATAAAATACGCACTTTATTTTCGTAAAGGTTCGCAAAGCAATTGGCAATGCAAAAAGCGTAACGAACTCACGAAGATTATTCAGCTGCTGGCTTTTTAAGACTAGGCCTTTGCCTGGCAAATTCTCACATACTAATGGGCTTATACGCATATAAATTATCTGTTTACCTTTGTGCATTACGTTGATCGACTGTGACTGGTGCGCCATTTTAGATTAGAGCAAACTTTGACTAAGCAGAAGGGACACAGGTGAAATCCAACTTTTATATTCTCCTAACCATTTTTTACCTTAAACTTTGACTTTATCCTAATATAATTTAATTTGGTTGCTTTTTAATGGATCATCCTCACAGCGATTTTGTAATAGTTTACTTAAACAATCAAGTTAACAATTACCAAGAATGTTTTGTTCTATCTAATTTTTATTTTCTGTCCTAATGCGGCCATAGACGCGAAGACTACTAGACCAAAATAAGTTCATAGGTCTTGAAATTTGTAGTTAATTTTTGTAGTATTATTATAGTAATATAATACTCTTGAGAGGTTGAGTTTTATAAAGACTTCTTTGTAAACTTCATCGTCATCGAAACATGTCTTTTACGACCTTCAGTGAATGCTTTGTGCCCCTCTAATACTTACAAGTATGATAGTGGTGAAATAGACTCCCCAAAAGATTTCTGCCACATTTCCAACTATTCCCTAGCCGTTATTCCATTGGAAACACAAAATTTCAAGAAACTTGAAAATCGTCAGATAAACTATTCGCGTGGTAAATTAAAAGCTGATCATCAAACTTTAGACGAACATGCAAAGGGTTATACCAATCTGGGAAGCAAATACTTATCTATTCGGTGTGCGCGCGCAGCTTAAATATACCAGTCGGGTTAAAATTTATTATATATTATAATATAATACAATCTATTATAGCTCGCTCGATTATGTATTCTTTATACATTTTCTTCTCATGTATTCACATATGCGTCCACATTTACATAATATCGTATTAATAGAAAATTATATACCGTTAAGAGAGTGGTATTTATTTAAAGCGACCCGTTGAGAGCCACACGTCTGCGCGCATAACTCCATTAACTTGACGTGAGTGCCACAATATAATTTAAATTAATTAAGCTTTACATAAAAAGTACATACATAGGAGTATATTGTAGGAAACCCATATAAAGTGGAGCTAATTAACAGTGCAAACATATTAACTGCCATGAGAACACACTTCTCTTGTCACAACTACGCAGTTACCTCGGTCGCAGATTGATATCTACGGCATACAAAAGACTTAAGCAACGAACCTCTTCCGCTAACTTGCGCCAGGCACTAATACCATCTCTAAGTTTGTACTATTTACAAGGTATTTTGTGCGAAATGTTAGCTGTTCATTAAAGAAGCTTAGGTAAACTATTAAAACGTACCGTTTCGCATTGCAGATGACCCAAATTAATCGAAATGTCTGTGTATGAGATGAAGCTGCTTAAAAGTAGCGCTGTGCTTGGGTACTTATGTGCGCTGTGGGGAAAATCGTGAACAATAATAACGAAAGTGTGGTTGATAAAAACCCATAAGAACCGTTATTTGACCGTAGTATGCTTTGCAAGAAGCTTGTACTTATGCACACACAAAGGTACGCAATTGATCATGTTAGTTTTAACTCGCTTCAACGACACCGCTAAGTATTTGTTCAACCCAAAAACGAGAAAAACCGAAAAAGATTAAAATAATTTTTTTAATGAACGTTCAAAATCTAGCCAACAACTATTAGCTTCTAATATCATGTCTTGCAGTAGTATTAGCGCTGTCCACTTGTTGCTGCCTAAAACGTCTATTTACTGACGTAAACACGACAGCTGACGATGGTATTGAAGCTATTCGAGCACTTATCGTCTCTGTGCTTTATGCCTTACCATTTTGTGTACTGCTGAGAAATGTGAGTAAACAAAAAGAAAAAATATCCAATTCTTCGGCACCTAATCTCTAGAAGAAGTGTTGGCGTTTGCTTTTTTAATTACTTCGTATACTATTTTGGTCGAGCATAATATGGTATCTTTTCTAGTGCTGTGACCTACTAAAGTCCCAAGAAATTAATAAATGTATAATACTTGTACATATGTATATGCTTGCTGTGCATGTAGCGGCGTGTGTTGTGCTTGTGAGGTATGTGAGGCGGTGTCAATAAGCCGCAGAGTGAGCAAACGAGACACGAAAAAGTGGTGAAGTTGCAGCATTCAAGTGTTTTGTAAGTTTATTTTGTCGGTACTCACATTTTACACGATAATTTATCTTAATTAGGGGAATCAGTTGGCTGCCTGAAAAGCATATATTATTGTTGTCTTGATCGATTAAAATAGTGAAGAATTTGATAAGGGAAATACAATACAATAAAATTATGAAAGATTGTAGGATGAGTTTAGATCACTTTTAAACGAAATTTATTCTTTAAAATTTTAGTATTGTGCATGGAACTGCTGGCGGAGTACCACTGTCTTAAGAAATCAGCGGTGTGAAAAGCGATTCACAAAACTTCACAGAAGATTAGCTTCGACAAGAATTACCAAAAATGGAAGACTAACAAGTTCAATGACTTCTTCTTTTAATTCTAAATGCGCATATTTTAACGGCTGTGAAGACATAGTCCCATATTTGTATAATTAATCCACCAGCACACCATTTCTTCACATTAAATGGTGATCGCTTTGTCGACTAAAATATTCTCTAGCCAAGTCAAATTTTCAGCGTTGTGTTCGGAATATTAATTCAGAAGCATTCTTACATATGTAAACAGGTAGCATTTCTTCGAGAATACATAGATTGTTATGTACATATGTGATAGCACACGGGTGTGTATGTAAAAAATTCTTTAAGATTAGTTCTAGTTAGTTATAATTTAAATCACGTCAAGCAGCAAGCTGCAAGCAGCAGGAGAATGCTCAATACTGTTACACATTTAATTGCAATTGGAGCATTGATTCCTAAAATGAGCTCAGTGAAACATGCCAACCACTTTTCGCGCTCAACGTCCAACTTGGCAAGGGGAAATGGCAAACTGGCCAATGGAACCTGTTAAACCGCCAATTACCAGCGATGACTGCATGAAAATACTTATTCATACATACACACACATGTACCGTATGAGCAAGGCGAGAGAAAAAGCATTCACCCAAAAACAACTCAAACAAGCGCTTCTCATTATAAACACACACATGCAAGCATATAAAGATGTGTGCGTGTATGTGTGCATTCGTGTGCGCTGATGCGCTCATGTGAAAGCGTGCTTTTTAAGCCAATAAGTCTATTAATTTAATAGTTTGGCCAACATCGAATTGAATATGCCTGATCAGCGACAATGTTAAGAATTCCGTTGTTGTTGATGCTTTTGTCGAAGCAAGAATTCAAGGAAACTAGAACTGTGTGAGCTCCTTTTAAGGCGGCACAGGGTGTGCCTAGTGCTTTACCATCTTCTTCGACGTAATTTTCACAGAGTAATCATGCGCACAATTTTTTAGTTAACTTTAGACCTTGATGTATGGTTCTGAAATGATTTTTTAGATTAATCCACATATAGATATAATATATATTTTTTTCTCAGAATCAGAATAAATTGCGTTTGTCCAAGGTGATGTAATGATTTAAGGGGTCTTGTAGAAAAATGAGATCTCTTTAATATTTAGTTATTTAAAACGTCTTCATTTTATTCGTTCTCCGCTCTCTCTCTCTCTGTTCTCTTTACCTCCTTATGTTCTCTAATTCTCTTTAATTGTATTAACAACAATAGCATTCAGTAAAACAGTGTTTTGTTCGATTCGCCACTGTAAAAAGGTAAAACGTCAGCGAATATTTAGTAGAGATAATAAATAATGTCTAAGATACTATATATAAAATTCATTATCTATTTAAAGGCTAATACTGTTACAAACCTCCCATATAACTCGGACATCAGTTGGTATTTTCTTAGTGGTGATCTAATATGCAAAGATATTATTTAATAATCCGATTTTCGTATAGTAATTTTCCATGCGCTCTTAAATGTTTTGTAAATAAACTTATGAAACATTAAATATATGTAAAAAAATGTGCCTATAGTGCACTACGCTTATGGCTGTTCAACTGCAAATCGTACAGTTGTCGCAAAAACCTGTATGTATGTAACAGTATTCCGTTAAAGTTGTGCAGTTTTTGTGACAGGCGCCATAAACTACCAAGTCTTTGTTTGGTCGCAGTGGCCGTTAAATAGCAAACGTTAGTCGCTTAGTTGTTTGACTGACTTACTGACATGCTGACTTGATGCCGCCGGTGCAGAAGTTCGGGCCGGCGTTCGATGGCAGTTAAAGCTTGACGCCACAGCACCAACTTACAAAGCGCAAAAAATAGCCCAAAAGACGCACATGGAGCATGACTAGAGCAAAGTACTGAATCTTATAAATTGTAGTTGAGTGCTTGAATTTGTAAACAACAAAACGCCACAAGATA